ACATCCAGCCACAGGCCAGACTCCTTCCAACTTTCAAAACTCTGCTTCCCTGCCCTCTCCTCTAGGAAGCCCTCTCTGGGTACCTCCCAGCAGAGGTCCCCCTTGCTGCTCACAGGGCCTTTGCTACACTCTCAGCTCAGCATCAATTCTTCCCCATCTGAGGGTCAAAGAGTGGCCTGGCCATGATGGCCACAGTGCGCACAGGGAGGAAAATAGTCTCTGTGTGGCCTGCTAGCGTCAGAGCAGGAGTGGCCAGCGAGGGCTGCAGAGGGGACAGGAGAGGGAGAGAGGATTATATCCAGACTGTGAATACCACCGGCCGGGAAAGCCGGCATCTCAGAGTCGCGCTCAGCAGGAAGGCTAGATCTCACCATGACACTGGGCAGAAGAAGCGAGCTGCTCAAGGTGCTTGCAGCACCAAGCCGCTTCCTTAAGGTCCAGAAGCTAGTGAAACTGAACCATGCGGGACTGGGCAAATGCAGGTGCCCAGTGGAACTATGGGGGCTCTTAAGGGTGAGAAATATCAAACCAGCAGAGTGGTGACCTTGGCAGCGAGTGGAAAGCAACGGGGAGGGCACCTGGGGCTTCTACTGTATGGAAATTGTTTGTCTTCAGCTGGGTGGGTGATACATGGGTATTTGGTTTTCTCTATACCTGTTCATATATCTGAAATAGTTTGTAAGTTTAAAAGATTTGACAGCAAGTCTTGAGCAGCCCTGTCCACTGCCATCCCAGCCTGCAGGCCTCCGCCTGGGGCGCCTGCTGCAAGGCTGGCTCTCCCAGGGTCACTAATGCACAGGAGATAGCGATCAGGAGCTAAATCAAGGGGTGCAGAGAACAGGACAGTCTCAGCCTGAGGTCCCTAGGGGAGGTCAGAGGAATAAGCCAGGGACAGGGGGAGGAGGAGGAGCTGGCCCTTGATGCTGGCCTGCCTGGTATGCGTGTTCCCTGCTCTCCAGCTCTGGCTTCCTGAGGCCACGTGCCTGGGGACCCCTGGGAGAGGCTGCCTCTGTAGATGGCTTATCTTCTCAGACAAGAAGCCCCAGCCTTTCACTGTCACTAGGCACCTGAGAGTCTGTGAGATAACTCTAAAAGGCTCTGGACCCTGGACCCTCATGGGTGTGGGCTCAGAGAGCCAGGGAAGTGACCTGGCCAGCATATCCCTGAGAGCCTGCCTGGGCCTGAGGGCTCCCATTAGGGCTCCTGGCCAGCAGGACTCCAAGATTGTGGCTTGTGCCAGGGCAGCACAAGTGACTGAAGTGTTGGGTTCAGCCACCCCTCGGGTGCCTGGTGAAAGCACTTGAGGCCCTGCCAGCTCAGCAGTTCTGGCCACCCAGGGGGCACACTCAGGCCCGCGCCCTCCCCAGGGAACATCCCGAGCCTGCTTGCCCCCCTCCCAGGGCCTGTGTGTCGTGGGTGTGCCACAGGTCTGTGTGTCCCACAAGCCCAGGCCTGGACTTGCCTCCATTTGTCTTTCTGCTGATCGCATCTGCTTTGTCCCACACGGATTCAGGGGAAATCTCTTCACCCGGACGCTGAGCGACATTGTGAACAAAGAAGACTTCGTGCTGGACTCCGAGTATCTCATCACACTTCTGGTCATTGTCCCTAAGTAAGTGCGCCAGGGAGGTGGGCCTATGTTGGTGATCATGGCAGGAAACTGGCCCAGCTCAATGGAGAGGAAGGAGGAGTCCCTGTGGCTGGGACCTCGGGGGCCCACACGCAGCGGTGCGGGCAGTAACTGGAGCAGGTGGGGGGCTTGGGTGTGATGGCAGTGACAGAGGCAACCATTTTTGAGCACCTGCTGTGTGTCAGGCTGCACAGACAGGAGCCCGTGGGGCTGTTGTTCCCTGGTCCTGAGGCCAGGGAGGACAGTGAGCTGGGGCCCAAGGCCACCCCAGGCCAGGACTAGAAAACTCTCAACAGGTCTCTGGCTGATCCCTTCACATGGCCCCCATGGTGCCTGGGGCCCTCAGGGAGGCTGGGCCAGGATAGGGCTGGGCAAGGGGGGTTCCCGATGTCCAAGGCAGGGCCTTGGGGTATATTTGGGGCTCTCTGGCCCCAGCCCTGCTCACCTCAGTCCTTTGGAAAATGGGTGTACAGCTTCCTGAACACTGAGAATACCCCATGAACTTTTCTGCAAAAGTCACCGAACAACTCTGTCTCCTCACAGACAAAGCTACACACAATGGCAAAAAACCTATGAATCCCTCTCGGACATGGTGGTCCCTCGGTCGACCAAGTAAGTGAGACTCCACCTTGGCTCCAGGGCCCCTGGAAGACATGTGGGCACTCTGGGGTGCCCAGCCACCAAACATGCCTCAAGATGCAAGGACCCTCAGCACTCCACACTTGTGCCTGCAGGAGTCCCTTGGCCCTGAGTTCCTTTGCAGCCACACATCCAGCCACAGGCCAGACTCCTTCCAACTTTCAAAACTCTTGCTTCCCTGCCCTCTCCTCTAGGAAGCCCTCTCTGGGTACCTCCCAGCAGAGGTCCCCCTTGCTGCTCACAGGGCCTTTGCTACACTCTCAGCTCAGCATCAATTCTTCCCCATCTGAGGGTCAAAGAGTGGCCTGGCCATGATGGCCACAGTGCGCACAGGGAGGAAAATAGTCTCTGTGTGGCCTGCTAGCGTCAGAGCAGGAGTGGCCAGCGAGGGCTGCAGAGGGGACAGGAGAGGGAGAGAGGATTATATCCAGACTGTGAATACCACCGGCCGGGAAAGCCGGCATCTCAGAGTCGCGCTCAGCAGGAAGGCTAGATCTCACCATGACACTGGGCAGGAGAAGCGAGCTGCTCAAGGTGCTTGCAGCACCAAGCCGCTTCCTTAAGGTCCAGAAGCTAGTGAAACTGAACCATGCGGGACTGGGCAAATGCAGGTGCCCAGTGGAACTATGGGGGCTCTTAAGGGTGAGAAATATCAAACCAGCAGAGTGGTGACCTTGGCAGCGAGTGGAAAGCAACGGGGAGGGCACCTGGGGCTTCTACTGTATGGAAATTGTTTGTCTTCAGCTGGGTGGGTGATACATGGGTATTTGGTTTTCTCTATACCTGTTCATATATCTGAAATAGTTTGTAAGTTTAAAAGATTTGACAGCAAGTCTTGAGCAGCCCTGTCCACTGCCATCCCAGCCTGCAGGCCTCCGCCTGGGGCGCCTGCTGCAAGGCTGGCTCTCCCAGGGTCACTAATGCACAGGAGATAGCGATCAGGAGCTAAATCAAGGGGTGCAGAGAACAGGACAGTCTCAGCCTGAGGTCCCTAGGGGAGGTCAGAGGAATAAGCCAGGGACAGGGGGAGGAGGAGGAGCTGGCCCTTGATGCTGGCCTGCCTGGTATGCGTGTTCCCTGCTCTCCAGCTCTGGCTTCCTGAGGCCACGTGCCTGGGGACCCCTGGGAGAGGCTGCCTCTGTAGATGGCTTATCTTCTCAGACAAGAAGCCCCAGCCTTTCACTGTCACAAGGCACCTGAGAGTCTGTGAGATAACTCTAAAAGGCTCTGGACCCTGGACCCTCATGGGTGTGGGCTCAGAGAGCCAGGGAAGTGACCTGGCCAGCATATCCCTGAGAGCCTGCCTGGGCCTGAGGGCTCCCATTAGGGCTCCTGGCCAGCAGGACTCCAAGATGCTTAGACTACTGGCCCCAACAACCCCTGCCCTGGGGACAGTGACCACAGTGGGCCTGTGCCTTGGAGGCTATGTGTAGTTAGAACCTTGTGACATTGGACATGAAAAGGACATTGTGGGATGGTTTCCACCAACTGGAAGTCTCCCTGCTTCATTATGACCACAGCACGTCAGAGCCTGGCCACCCCAGACTAAGGCCCAGGAGTAGCTCACTCTCAGGAATTTCATGAACAAGAGCCACCCCAGATCTCTGCTCAGCTGGCCTCCAGGCTTGTCTTCCTTTCCAGGGCCTGCAGTCAGATCACCTGGGAGCCCCTGAGGCCTCAGCCTGGAGGGTGAGGGGAAGGGACCAGAGAGGCAGCTGAGACCACACAGCCAGAGAGCCGGGCTCCCCACCCCTGCTCCTACCGAGGCCCCTACGCATAGGCCCCGGGGCTGCCAGGGACTGAGGCTGCCTCTGCTGTGACCCACCTCCAGAGGAAGAAAGAACAGGTCCCTTCTGGCAGGGGACTAGTGACGAGCCCAGCAAACAAATGCTTCTCTCCAACAGACTGATTGCTGAGGACAGTGAGGGTGGCCTTTTCACAGTGACCCTGTTTCGCAAAGTGATGGATGATTTCAAAACCAAAGCCAAAGAAAACAAGTAAGGGTCTCTCTGGGTTTGGTCTTTCCCCACTGGAGGGTCTCTGCTCCAACTGGAAGCTTCTTAGTGAAAGACTTTTGTGTTTATTTTCAGGTTCACTGTCCGTGAATTTTACTATGATGAAAAGGAAATTAAAAGGGAAAGGGAAGAGATGACCAGGTTGCTGTCTGATAAGAAGCAACAGTATGTGAGTGAGCGACACAGGCCGGGGATTTTCATGGAGGTGTTGAGTGGCTCCCTCCCCATGCCAAAGGCCCAGGGGCAGCAGGGTCCTGCCAAGTCCCCCTCAATTCCTGTTGTCCCCATTCCCGTGGGCACGCTGCCCAGGGACGTGTGCTCTCCTGGGGCTGCCAGAGCAGGGTCTAGGGAAGGCGACAGGCACAGGTGACATGGAGGTGGCGCGGGAGCTGTGAGCGCACGCCTTCCTGATGTGACCTCTCTGAGGCCTGGCACCTTCCCGGCAAGGACTCTTAGCTCCACTTTGCAGGTGAGGAATCAAGGCTCTCAGGGGTTAGAGAGCACTTGCCTGGGAAGAGGACCCTGCCTAGGTTCTCCCTGCTGAGGTCCGGCAGGGCAGGCCACAGCACCTGCTCGGAGGGTGCAGCCAGTGGCCACCCTGCTGCCCACGGGGTGGTTTCCAGGCGTGGCGTGACGTCCTGTCGCCAGCACCTGTAGTTACCTCCCCTGCGTTTAGCAAAGAGTGGGTGCTTATCCTTGAGACTTCTGACACCATCACTTAGGAACATCTTGTGTGTGAGGACAGCTGAGCTCAAGAGGGAGAAAACCAGATTTTCATTTTTGAAACATGAACAGTGTAGCCATGAAGAGTCACTCCACCACTCTGTAAAATGGGTGCACTCCAGATGTGTGGCACCTCAGCCACAGAGCAGGGCCAAGCCAGGTGGCTCCAGGGCCCTGTGTGGGGGGCCCCCTCATGCCCATCCCTACCAGGGAGGGTTCCTGGAGAGACTTCCGATTCAGCCTCTGGTGTAGAAAGGAAGGGAAGAATGAATAGAATGTACTTAAGGTCTCTTGGAGAATAGTCAGTGTGTAAACATAAAGCTGGAAGTATGCGCTTGGCTGAAGAGCAGAAAGTGCTTTCTGTGTGGCCGAGTGTTTGCCCCGGGCCTTCTCCGGCATCAGGCTGGGGAATTATGCACATCCAGCCTGACCTTTCTGGGTCACAGGCCTTTTCATAAGGACTCCAGACAAGCCATCCCCTCTGGAATGAGCCCCCAAAATGGAGTTCTCCGAGCCCCCAGGACTGACCCATCCCACTTTGAGGACTTAGGAACTGGCCATTTGAAAATGTGCATGGGAACTGTAACCTACCTCCCAAGCATAAACAAGCGTGCGCACACGTGTGTGTAGATGTGTGTGCACACGAGGTGAGCACACACTTCACAGATCCCAGTCTGTGGGGCTCAGGCTGAGACTGAGCTGGCCCTGGGCAGAGAGGCCTCAGACCCCCACACTGGGCAGGACAGGTGTTCGGCAAGAGCCAAGATCCAAAGCGCTTCCTGTAACCGCGGCTGCGCAGAAACCCCTCCCGCAGGAGCGCCCCAGCATTCTCTTCAGCGGAGCCTCTTCCCCGCGTGCTTCTGTCCTGGCCACCAGCCCCTGCACCGTGGTTTTGGACAGGAGCTGGGCAGTGGCAGCTTCCATGAGTGTCCAGGCGGGAGGCTCCGCCTGTAGCACAGGTGCTCCCCGTGCTGGCTCAGACCCCTGAGGACCAAGGTGATCCGCAGCCCGACACCTGCCACCTGGGGCTCAGGTTGCCTGTTGGAGCTTTCTTATGCAGTGTAGACTTCTCACCCCCAGTCTGCACCGGGGAGGCCTGCCAGGTCTCTCCATGGAGGGGAAATGGAGCTCTGAAGGAGATACACTAACTCGGAAACTTTTAACTCTTAAAAGACTTGCTGTGTGCCAGTGAGCTGCGGGCAGCTGGGGTCAGCCCTACCCCGGCTGCCTGAGAACCGTTTTGCCCCTCAGCCTCTTAGGAGGTGGGTGTGACCAGCACCCCACACCCTTTTTGTTACTTGTCAGCAAGGGGTGCAGAGGTGAGGTCCTGGGGCTCCAGTTCCCTTTGAGAGTAGAGTGGGGTTTCCCTGTGCTTTCCAGCTGTTCGTAGAGAAAGATGGTACGAGTGGAAATGTCCTAACAGCCCACCTCACTGACTTGTGCGGGGCGCCTCCTGAAGGGCACTCTGGGTGCTGAGGAGGCTGCCTGGGCTGGACTTGGTGGAGACACCTCGGCCTCATCAGACAGATGGTTCTGCAGGCAGAGCGGTTTCCACTCCCAGAGCTGCCCCGTCCTTGTTTGCCGGTGGGGGGATGTCCTGACCGAGGCCGGGCTAAGGGAGGAGCTATGGGAACTGACGCCTGTGCCAGCAACTGGCTCTGTCCCTGGAATATGGGACCGAAGGCTTCAACATCCCTGGGGGCTGACGTGTGCTGGTCACATGTCCAGTCCAACCAGCACACGAGTCTTGAGGGCGGGCCAGCGTTCCTGAGCTTGCCCTCATGTGCTGCTCAGGCGAGGAGAATCATTTGTTTGTTTGTGATGCATGTTTGCTCAAAGATTAATAAATCATTTCTGTGCCTTTAGCAAACTTCCTGTGTTGCTCTTAAAAAGGGATCATCCACCTTCCCGGACCACAAGGTTAAGGTAACCCCGCTAGGTAACCCTGATAGGCCCGCTGCGGGGCAGCCGGACAGAGAGAGAGAGAGTGAGGGCGAGGGAGAGGTAAGCAGCACCCCCAGGAGCCCTGGGGTTCCCTGGCTCGCATGTCCTCGCCAGCGCAGGCATCTCTGAGGAAACCAATCCTTGCCTTTCCTGTTACCTAAAATGGCTTTGGAGGTCTTAATTCAAGGAGCCCAGAATCATGCCTTCCTCCTAATCTTCAGGGCCTCTTCGGAGCTGCCCCCACCCCCAGCAATGAATGGTGCTTGTTGGCCAGGGTGCCTCTGCCCTGCCTGGAGGTGGCTGAACCTGGTGACGGGGCAGGCGGTGGTGACGGGGGGTGGTGATGGGGCAGCTCGGCTCCCTTCCCCGGGCTGCCCTGGCTGGACTCACCCCTGACCTTAGTGGGCAAGTGGAGGTCCCGGGTGGGAGCTTGGAGCCTTCACTTTAAGACTCTGAGCTCCCGCCAGGGACTGGCCACCCCAGCATTAGTGACAGCTGTTGTGGCCCCCATGGGTTGTGGCCATGGCAGGCAGGGCTGCAAGGAACATCCTGCGAGCAGCTGGTGGATGATGTCAGGAGAGAGGGTGAGCCTTCCTCGGAGGTGGGCCCCTTGGCAGCACAGGGTCACACGGAAGCCTGTCAGCTGCCTGCTGAAAGCCCTGAGGTCAGGGGCTGCCCAGCGCCTGAGGCCTGGTCTGTGGTGGCCTGGCGCATGTGCCGTTGGCTGGCCCTCTGCGCTTCCTGGGCACCAGGTGTCCTGGAGAACAGGGGCCTGGGCCTTTCCATGACCTTGTCCGACCGACTCTCTGCTTCTGCTGGCCTTGGGCATTTCTTCTCAGCACAGGGCTCACTGCAAAACCCATGTCCTTTCTTGGCTTGGTGCTGGGCCGAGTGACCAGGAGGGATCACCCACTCTCGTCTCCGCAGGGCCCACTGTTGCGCTGGCTCAAGGTGAACTTCAGCGAAGCCTTTATTGCCTGGATCCACATCAAGGCGCTGAGGGTGTTTGTGGAGTCCGTGCTCAGGTGTGTGCAGGGATGCCCACCTTGGGCTGTCCTGCTGTGGGAGGCCAGGAGGAGCCAGCTTGCGGGCCACAGCCCCCCACCAGCACCTGCAGCCTCCTCTGGGACATGCCCTGGCCCTCCCGCCCCTCCCTCTGCCCCCCGTGGCTCTCGGCGACCTGCTTAGGATTCCCCAAGCTGAATCAAGTTCCTCTCAGCCCTGTGGTACCCTGCTGTCCTGAGCACTGCGTCCCTTTCTTGCCAGACTTGGGGCAAGTGTCCCTGTATCTCCAGCAGGAGCTGCACACCCCTCCATGCAGCCTTCTGGGGCACAGCGACTCTGGGCAGAAATACCAGCCCTGTCTCAGTCCTGCACGACTGAGGCCCAAGGCTGCACAAAAATAAAGCCCAACCCTAACTGAACCAAAACCAACAAAACTTACTTTGCCTTGTTATTTTTTTCACAAAAGCACAATGTTTTCCTGTGGAAAACTTGGAAATCATAGATAAGCAAAGAGAATGAATAAAAATCACCTATAATTTTAACACCTATAATTTTTAATGTGCTGGCGTAAGCAACTTCAGGTTTTTTTGTTTTTGTTTTCTTTTAGTTTACAGATATGCATAATTTTTACTAAACTTTTACAAAAACGGAATCAAGCAGTAAGTATTTTTTGAAGCCTGCTTTTCTACTGTGCTTTAACCATGTCCTATGTTGGAAAGTATTGGGGATCTTGGCTACACCACACCCGGCTGGCTGTACCCGTCTTCCAGATACCCCACCACCACTCTCGGCCTGCTGTGGCCTGCAGGCTCTGGTGTGCCAGTGGCCCTCGGGGTGGTCTCCCCGGCCCTTCCCCAGTCCTCCCGGCAGGCTGCCCCAGGAGCTTCCCAGCTGTCACCTGGCCAACTATTCCCTACTTTCCCTCCCCACCATGCTTCCTCTGGTTCCTGGTCCTGCCATTTGCCCACCCAACTTCATTTGCAGGCTTCTGGATATCTGGCTTGTCTTACCTCCCCTTCTAGTGGCTTCTCTGTTAATGCCAGTGACTGCATGTCCTTCCTGTGACCAGGCCCCACACCTCAGGACAGCTGGGACACCTCAGCTCCCCCATCCTCATATCCTACCCCTGTGCTCCCCTGCGCCCCCACCGCGCCCCTGGCTGGCCTGCCCACCCTCCCTTTACTTTCTCTCTTCCCTCCATCTCCTACTGCAGCTCTCCCGGCTCCTGTCATAAGGCTCTTACTTGGTTCTCTGCTCCTGTTCCTCCTCCATGTGGCTGCCGTGGTTTGGTCCCAACACAGATCAGATCTGAGTGCAGCTCTGCATCCTGTCCGTCCATCTCAGAGGCCTGTGATGGCAGGAATGGTGGCGTCGGGGGGCGGTGGCTGTGCTCAAGTTAGCCTGGAGTGTTTAGCCAGCTATAGTGTAGATGGGCCCAGACTGACCCTGGTTGCCTCAAAAATCAGCGTAGCCTGTCCATGCCTAACACGATGCCTATTTGTTCAAGAAAGAGGTAGAGACAAGGGTCTTTAATATCTTGCTCAAACCCAGTAAAAACAAGTATTACCCCTAAAAGTGTGTGCAGACATTATTCTTCTCAAAGTGATCATGGCATGACTTTTTTTTTCCTGAATAGAGTTGTAACATATGAGCACTGAAAAAAATTACAAGTTTAGAAATATATACTCTGGGAAGAGTTCCTCACGGGCCTACTGTCCACAATCACGGTTAATGGTTTCAAGGCCCTTCCTGTCACCCAAATGGGATAATTTATACTTAATGTCCAGCAACTTGTCTTTTTCATCTGCTCTGCATTGTGGTCTTGTCGGTATGTATAGAGCCACTTGATCCTTCTTAATGGCTTTTTCATATTCCATCCTATGAAGAGATTGTAATCTAAGAAAATAGATGTTGAACTACCAAGCTCATTACAGCAGACGGCTGTGTCCCTCCTCTCAAAGCCGATCTTGTCCTTCTCCTACCCTGGGAGCTGGAGGGCAGGGCCTGGGCTGCCTTTTGTCTCCAAAGGGCCTCAGGCTGTGCTGGCTCAAGGTGAGGCAGCCTCCACGGCTCCTCTACCCAGCTCCCGGGGCTGTCCAGAAACCCACCCACATCCTCGACTGCGCCCGCCTGCCCAGGCGCTCCTCCACCTACCTCCTACAGAGATGCTGGGAGGAGGGCGTGGGCCCGGACACGGAGGCGGATGGGCTGAGAAAGCGGTCAAGGGCTTGGAGGCTTGATTCGGAAGAGCACTCACTCAGTTACATTTAGTAAGTGTTGATGGAGTGCCTATCGTTCACCAGCCATGGGGATAAATCAGTGAACGGGATATATGCACGCCTCTGCCCTTGAGGGGCTCACAGGTTGGAAAAGGGAAGAGGCCTTAAAGACAGGAGTACTTGTCCAGGACTGACAGCCTCCCAGCAGCATGGCGGTAACTGTGGTGGAGCCCAGGTTTGCAGGGTGGCAGTGGGTTTGTGTGCAAGTGGCAGTGATGGTCCAGCAGTTCAGTCTGGGAGCTGGAATGCCTGTCGGGGCACAGGATCGGTGACCCCCTCCACTTGAGAAGGCTGCAGGACACTCCTCAGCACCTCAGTGGTGAGCAGGGGCAGAGCCGCGCTGGCACTCCCACATGAGCTGGGGGTGTGGGCTGCAGGTTTCTGGAGAGCCCTGGCAGCTGGGCTAGGAAGGAGGCAGGAGAGCAGACACGGAACTGCTCATTGAGGTGAGATGCGCTGCAATCCCTCTGATCACCTCCCTTGGGGGACGAGAGGTTGGATGACAAAAGGGGAGGGAGGACAAAGAGGGCTGTCCTTCAAACTGGCCTAGCCTACGTGCACTGCCATCCCTGTCAGCATCTGCAGGCTTCTGTGGCACTTAAGCTCTTAAAAAGAAAAGATGTAGGCGCGGTCCCAAATCCGGTGCCTGCAGGCAGGTCGCATTCCTGACCCGGCTGCCCAGTGTCCTTGAAGACAGAGCAGGCAGGCGCCCCGCTCAGCGGTAGTGGTAGCGCACTGGCAAGCAGCTCTGCATGGACCGACTTCCCCTTTCTGCAGACCCAACAGAACACAGCACAGTGAGCACTTTTCACTGTTAGCCACCAGAAGTGGGGACCAGGGAATCATTTATGGGTATTGGTTGGGAAGTAAGAGCTAAATAATACTGATATTTTGCCACTAGCAATTATTTGTCAAAGTAAAAGGACTTTTAAGGACCCTCATCAGGCCTGGGGCTGCTCTCACATACCTGAATTGGGGAGCATGAAGAACAGGCAATATGTACTGAACATCTGAGCATTTGCTCACTGACAGTCTATTTTAAAAACCTGACAATAGAAAATGCATGTTTACTATTTGTATAGTAATTAGTACATACCTTAATTATTCTGCGATACCACCACAGGAATATCCCAGCTAGCAGTTTTAAATGTACTCAGGCATACAAAGGCCATTTAAGATTTTTCTATCCAAGAACTCAGCAAGAGGATTCAATGATCTTGAAGCAACTTTTGGGCTGCTCTTTACAGAGAATAAATCAGCTAAGCCAGGTTTTCAACAAATGCTGTGCAGCTCGAACTTCAGTCCAGTGATCTGCATTCAGTCTGAGCATTCTGATCACGCATGCCTGGGGGATGACCTCTTAAACTCTTGTCAAAAACTATCACTGTCAGAGTGGGTTAGCATGTTCTAGAGATTTTTCTATCCAGAAAGAACTGTTACAACCCTAGACACTTCACTCGTTGTATTTTCTTGAGCTATGTTGGTCGAAGCTTCCCATTCTTACTAGACCTTACTCTTTCTCATCAGGTTTTTACCCGTTTTCATTTGTAGCAACTTATCTACACATTGTCTTTGAAGGTATGGACTTCCAGTGAATTTCCAGGCAGTGCTTCTCCAGCCTCATAAGAAGTCATCCACCAAACGTTTGAGAGAGGTTCTCAACTCTGTCTTCAGACACCTGGATGAAGTGGCAGCAGCAAGTATACTGGATGTAAGTACAGGACCCAGACGCAGTGTGTTTCTACACTAAGGTCAGCCTCCCCACATGGAACTTTCCAAAAATGGCACTTGCCAGACTATTATGCAAATCTGCATTTCACAAATGTCAGAGTATGACAAGGAAGGGGCTGTGTACTAGTGTGTGCACTGTGCAGGAAATAGTCACAGCCTAGACAGCTTCCTCGAAAATATGAAGACAAAATAGGGAATTAACGTATGCACTTAGAACATACTATGTCTTCTTTTATAGGCATCCGTGGAGATCCCTGGATTACAACTCAACAACCAAGACTATTTTCCTTATGTCTACTTCCACATTGACCTTAGTCTTCTTGACTAGAAAGAGCTGGCTCCTGCAGAGGCTTCTTTTCATTAGCCTGAGAACAGTTTTAAGTGTCCTACAGAATTCAGACTTTTACAGAAATTGCTCACAAGTCAGTTACAGTTGTATTTATTTTTTTTTAAGTTACAATAAAGAAATGCTCAGTCCTTTTCTCTCTTCGGTTATATTCTAACAATTCAAAACTTCAATTCTCTGAATGTTTTATATAGATGGTGACTGCCTATGAATTGGTAATCTACTAAATGTCTTAATGGACAGTTTTGTGAGGCTAAGGAATAACATTAAAACGTTGAGCAGACTGTATAACCAGCTATGTCCCCTAGTAAGTCACTGGTGGTGGCCCGAAGACAAAATACTGGGCATGAAGTGCAGTTCTCAATGACAGCCCGCCATTTTCCATTCTTCTCTATCAACTTGCTTTACGTTGCACTTACAGATGGAACCTGGCTCAGGACACATGTATATCTGTGTTGTGGCAGGGATCCGGATGGTGTCACTGGAGTCACAGGTCTTTAGGAAGGAAAGACACCAGTCATCCCTTCATAGTACTAACTTACTGGCTAAACATCTGACTCTGAATTTGTGAGGTGGACACTAATTTCATACCTTTATTAGCATTGTCCAAAATATTTTATTCTTTAATGGAAAAAAGCCATTAATATTCAAACAAAAGGATCACATTAAAAAACTTATACATTAAGAAACAGCCTCCAAGAACATTCAAGCAGCAGTCAGAGGAAGGGGAAAAAAATGTTTCAATAGCTCATCAGTTTTCTTCAAAATATTACTCGACAGACAACCCAATTCCTTGGCTACAATTCATAGAATTTTTCACTGTTTTCTTGAGATGCAGAAGCTCACTGTTGCAGTGATTTCAAATGACCGATCAAGTACTACTTGTTGGTGAGAAAGGCCACTGGTAGATTCATCTGATTGTAAAGAATGTTCCTTCACTGCTGGGAAAATCTGCTCCCAAGAAAAGAAAACAGAGATCCACGCGGAGCCTCTCAGAGCTCATCCTTCTCAAGGTCGTCCAGCTCCACGTCGCTGAGGTCGATGTCATCTTCCACGGGAAGCTGTGGAACACAAAACCGCGTGAGGCCAGCAGAGTGGGGTGACCTGAGAAGTCCTACAGACTCCTGATGACAGAGCCGGTTTCTCCCCAGTTCACTCCTGCTTTTAGCTTTGCCAATTATTATACATACGGAAAAGCCAAGAGCTTAAATGAAACATGATTTTAACTTATCACTTACCTCTTTAAAACTCAGAGCTATTTAACTTGTCCTTTAGAGGAAGGCAGGGCTGAAGCATACAGGAATAAATGCTAATTTCAAAGCTGTGATTTTGCATTTCTCTGAGACAGTAAATGAATTCCAGGTTAAATGTTTCCTTTAGGGGCAATGCTTAGGAAAGGGATCTCATTACTGGAATTTACCTTGGTTGTCTGTCAATGACAATGACATGTAGCACTTTTAATAGGGAAGATGGGAAGCAGGTCTTGAGACAAAGAACCTTCCTAAGGCCACGAGGGCATCATATTTTTGGCATTATGCCAAGGTTTAGGTCTGATGGCAATGACTTGGTTTACAAGTAGCAGAGGTGCACAGCAGGGGCCAGGAAAGCAGAAAGAGCTGGACAAGCACCTGACAGCACAGCCTCGGTCTGCAACTCACCTCGCCATCCTTGCCGTCCCAGGGCTCTGTGGTGCTGATGGGAGGGAAAGCCCCACCTCCTACAGGTGCTGTAGATCCACGCCCGAAAGAAAGCTCCCTTGGGGAAAAAGGATCAAAACAAGCACATACTTTTACAATATGGACCGCTGATGCTGATGAAGAAAGAATGTTTTAACGTAATGACCTGATGACTTGCTTACTATGTTTATGTAGAGGCACCTCTCACCTCTTGCTCCTGAAAAATACCTCATGAACAATATCTTTTCAATCAGGGACAATAATAAAACTAGGCATGAAATTCCTGAGGCCTCAGCATCCAATAAAGCCAGTTACTACCAATAATTTAAAAAAATAGCAAATGTATTTCGCTAAATACGAATTATGTAAAAACTATCAAAGCTGCTCTAGAACATGGGCAAAGCCAACACAACACTGACACTTGATTAATAAAACTCTAGGCTAACTTAAGGCCCCAGAAAGGCTTTTGAAAAGACAGTATTTTAAAACTAAAATGCAACTCCTTCTCTCAGATTTGTAACGGCAGGAGGGGGACTAAACCAGCTCAGACACTAGAGGCCCTTCTCAAGACCGAGAGAGGGGAGGGCAGTTCTCTCCCAACTCAAACTTTAAGTCACAGAATTATACATGAAACCATGTTAGGTCCTGACTTCGGCAGGTAATGATAAAAAGCTTTTCACTGGAAAGATGCAGAGAACATCACCAGACTGTGAGCAAACCTTTAAAAGGAGCCTGCAAGTATCCTCTGGTGAAGGGTGCTTGGAATAGGGGTAAAAGAGGAAAACAAAACAAAATAGGATGGCAAATTTTCTGTAATGTGTTTGACAGGTTATTTTGTATGTTGGGAAAACTGGGTAATTTTATCCACAGCACCTTTGCATTTTTTACAATGTGTATCAGTGGTTCCTAAATGGGGCAATTCAGTCCCTCCACCCCAGGGACATCTGGCAATAGCTGGAGACATTTTTGATTGTCACAACTATGTGTGTGTGGGTGCTCCCTGTATCTGGGGTAGAAGCCAGGAGTACTAAGCGTCTCGTAATGCGCAGGACAAAGAACTCTCTGACCCAAATGTCAAGAGTGCCCAGATGAGAAACTGGAGGTACAAATACTGGTTATATTCAGAAAACAGGGTGATATAAATATACTTTACCACCATTCACTGAGCAGCTGAGGACAGAATGTTGACTATCATACCAACATATGGGCAGAATACAGAGGTATTATTGCTAGTTTCCTATTTAGAATCAGCAGCAAGAAAAATACAAACACTAATGGGAAGATGCCAAACTTAAAGTAGGAACAAAATTCTAAGGGAACTGTAGGTGCCTTCAGGGCAGAGTTCAATTGTTTTTTTTTTCTTAAGGCTTTTAATAGCTCATTTCTGCTCCTCCCCTTTGCTTTTTCTTTGTAGGGCTAAATGCTAACAGTCATCTTTTAATTAAAGGAGCTCTGAGAACAGGCTGCTGCTTAAACAAACCAAACAGCAACGAACCTATAAAAAATTCAAGTCCTTCTTCCTTTGTTTGCATAATGTACAATTACATACTTATATTTTCTGGCTGCTGCTCAAGAGGAACACAACATGGTATTTTTTCAAGGACAAATACAGAAATCACTAATGTCTCGGGTTGACCATAGTTTTCAATTGGTGCCACTCCACTTATAAATTATTTTGGTTTCATCATTACTAAGAAACTTAAGATGGGTTGCTGGACAAATGGCCCGTCTGTGGCTTAGGGTGCGCATGCTGGTGCCTCTCGCCACTGACAGGCAGGCGCATACACCAGCCTCAAGCTCAGGCAGCGTCCTCACTGCTGATGTCCTCTGAGTGCGGCCAGTCTTCTCAGAAAACAAGATTGCACGTAGGTAGGAACAAGTATGCCGTCACATATGTTGTTTCCTTCCTATTCACTACTGCGTATTTTTTCTCCACTGGTAACCAGGTGGGTGCTGAGGTTTTCTGTTCCCTCCAAGATGCAACATGTGAGAACCGGTGGCCTGTATGTTCTCGAGCACAAAATAATTGTCTCAAGTTTACATCATGGTATTGTTCCCTCTATTTTTCCCATGAAGCATTTACCTCTACCTCTTAAAGAACTAGAAAAGGAACACTGGCTGAAAATAAATGTGAATAAAATTAAAGCTGGGGTTAGAACCTGTAATTTCCAGTAAGTGAGTCCAAAGACTCATCTCTCATGTTTCCTACAGTTTTTGACATTGGAATTAGCTGTTGAAAAGGATGAGGTATATCTGATAAGTAGTCTTCCTGTCCATGTAACGTGTCGATGAGCACACACTGGAGAAAACACACAGGGCCGTGCCTCTGAGTAAGTCGGGTGTAGGAGGAACTGACTAGCAGGGTAGGACAGAGAGCGCTGTAAGCTGGGTTTTGAATCAGATCAGGGTTGTTTGTACACTGTTGGAGTCACTGAAGTAAATACACGCATCTTTCAAATAACTACACTCCAGGGTGGGGACGGATGATCATGCTGCTTCTAACCCATGAGACCTCACTGAGGACGGCAAGGCGGCCTGAGAACAGGGGAGAAATGCCTGTCATTCAGGAGGCAGAACACCTCCACGGACAACGACAGAGCACAGGACGACTTAACAGCTCTAATTTATAAGCAACTAGTTCTCCAGAATGTCAAGTGCAAGATGATTCCATTTACTGCCTGGTCTATAGAAATTTATTTTGAAACACAAAACAACAACAGAACCAAAAAGAAAAAACAAAAACAACTCAAGAAAGCAAGAAATTACCTAAGAAACTCATTAATGCCCTGCTCACTGAAAGATCCTTTCAGAAGAGCGAATTTCATTTTGCGTGCATTAATGGCTGCCATGGCTGGGTACCCAAACCCGCCAATCCCCAAAGCGTTCTCCAGGTCAGACTGGGCTCCAGCTTCTGTCCACAGCCACCTAGGAAAGCAGAATGGTTTTCAGGGTAAAGATCCCTTTCAAGTTAAGTTAGAATCTACTAGTGGATCTCAAGTAAAGAGAAAAAGATGGTACTTCAAATATTTCATGGAATGGGTGGAGAAATTTTAAAAATAATATATTCTAGATATGCTTGTAAGTACTGACAATTCTTCTGTTATATTACCAAAACTCTAACCCTGGAAGTCCACAAAATGGATTAATCTATGAAGGTTTTCTCCCGGTCCCCCAAATACTGTCCACTAAACCTAATGAATTTTCTCTGTCTTTGTTACCTGAAATTCTACCAGTATCATTTGGGTTATTATGCATGCTCCTGAGAAGTGTACTAACTTCTTTTAAAATGTTATGGGTATATCATATTCAATACATATAAAAATGCTCAAATTTCTTTACTCAATTTCTACAATGGTGAATAAAGCACTCAGAATGCAGCCTTCTGTAGGCACACGTAAGTCTTTGCTGAGTGGGAGGAGGATGTGCAAGGTCACTGTGAGAGTGACAGCAACTGATATTGAGGATGAGAAAGAAAAAGATAAAGTGGGAAGGAGACCAAGATGCACGGTGTTTTAAAAAATCGCCCAGACTAGCCCTTACTCAGAAGTGGGCAAAAAAACCACCTCTGTATTTCTTTATCTAGCTCTCAAACCTGTACTAGAATTCAGCCATGTCACTAATTAAGTTTTGGCCTGCTTTTGACCCCAACCACCCTTTAAAATGATTGCTGAGAAAAATGTATGCCATGGTATGTCTTATAAATAAGAAAGCTGCATTACTTCTTTTCTTCCTTGATAATTATTTTTGTATCTTAAACATGCTAACATGAAACAGGAACATATCCTACAGAAGACAGGGAAGCAGACACTTTGAAGCAGCACTACACTCCCCTATCTAATGATACTGCGACTGCGCGCTTAGTAACTTACCCCCACATTTTCTTTTTGTATTTGTCTGCCAACTTCAGAAGAACTTCCAAGTAAGAATTTCTGCCTGTAGCTCCTGATTTAAACAGACAAAATTTCTTAAAGGTAAAAATAAAGGAATCTGTAACATTAATCCACTTAGAAAGTGTTCACAGAGCAGACAGCACAGAACAATCATGGACAGTGGATGAGTCTCACAGGTGAGTCTCCGCCCATCGTACCAGTATCAAGAATATGGGGCAGCACAGCCACAACACAGAGCTGATGTTCCTCACATGTCTTCTTGGCAATGTCTTCATTGATGATCTGTGGGACCCAGAACACAAGGGATAGTTGGAAGGCCACTGACACAAAACCCAAAGGCTAAGCTTGAAAACAAAGACTTAGCATCATCACTTTCATTAAAGAGCAAAGCAATCCAAGAAATAGGTAAGACTTCTCCCAAATAATACCACCTTGTATGCACCAGAGAAATGCTCTGTAACAGATTTCTGTTAGTTGTTCCTAAGCCACATGCTCTGGTGGTAGCGAGGCATTTGCACATTTACATGGTCTCTGAAATCAGAACGCCTGTGCATAGCCCATCTCTCACACCTAATCATTTAGCTACATAGACATTTACACATATTATGAATTTGAGGCTTTCTGTGCCTCAGTTTCTTCATATGTAAAATATAGATAAAACAGTACTTCCAAGTGTTCACATGAGAAAAATCTAGGTAGAAGCAAGAACTGCCTGTTACACAAAGAGGCATGCAATAAACATTAGCTATCCTTGAGAGCCAGGAAAGAGCAATAGGGTCCATTCTATTTTTCGGACACTTCGGCACTCTTTTGCTCAGAGAGCAATTATTTTAGTATTAAAAGTTATGAAAAACAGTGATTTCTCAAACAGGTTTTCCCCATTTGAAAGTACAAAAACATTTTGACAAAAGCATTTTAAAGGAGAAGGGAAGAGCTCATTTGTAAAGGCAAAAGGAATGTTATTATTACTGCTTAAAATCACCCAGGATCAGACTGGAACAGGGCTCCTTATCATAGGAATAACTGAGGAGGTTTACCTCAAGCAGCTCAGGAGGGGGCGCACTGTCAGAAAACAGATCGAGGGCCCGTGAAACGATGTCCGATCTTGTCCGCCCCCCATCATAATCCACTGGAGACTCGCCTTTCTGAAATATCTTGATTGTAGGAAATCCCCTAATCTATTAAAAAATAAAAAAGATCAGAGTATAAAATCAAATCACCACTTAATAAGAAATAATCATTATGGTTTCTAAAATGACTTTATAATAATGTAACAGAAATACTCCCAGCCTGTATCAATGCTAACAGATGATACCCAGAGTGTCTGTTAATCAAAGGGCTCTGATGGTCTGCCAGGCCAAGCCGAGTCTCCTTCAAACCCTGAATATATACTTAATAGAGAATCTGCTCTAGAATAAACAAACTTCAAAAGCTGTATGAGCAACCTGTAAGAGCTTCGGCAAGCTGAAGGCGCCCCTAAAATGCACAGAAGTGAGATACTAGGTAACAAAAATAAACCCCGAGTCAAGACTTAACTGTTTTTAGCTCTGACAGTAAATAACTCTTTCTTCATTACAAAATGGCTAAACATCTCCCCTTGTGCCTCACAGGGAGGCCTGGAGTATTGGATGAAGCAGAAGTTGAGAATACTGTGTATTTCTCATGGAAAAACGGGCCCTATCAATGTGCTCACCCCGTATCGGCTGGCCAGCACCTGGTTGACTGTAGCATCCACGGCTGCGAGCTTCACTTTGCCTTTTGTTTGCTCTTTCACCTCTGTGGCCGCAGCGGCCCACTCTGGCTCTAGGCTATAGGAAAATATTTACACTATTAAAAGTGCATTTTCAGTCGCAGCACAAATACTTTTAACTGATGTGCGCATTTCTCCCCAGTCCAGCTAAATCACACTTGGAAAATGTTTGGTGTGTAGCTTTACGAACGATTTGAACTACCCTTCACATTCACTTCCTTTTCATACCCTGTCCCACCTCCCACACTTGGATGCTAGCTCCCAGTTAGTCTTTGAAAAAATGACAGGAAAGAAACTTGGCACCAATGCCAGTGTTTTAACATTCATTTAGTCAGAGGTTTTCTGGAGATCTTGATGATTATCTACTATCTGGTTCAGCTTCCTCAAAGTGAGCTAGATGAACACAGCTGACCCCTGAACATGGGTTTGAACTGTGTGAGTCCACTTATATGTGGATTTTTTTCAGTGAACATATGGGAAAATTTGTTTTGGATTGTGACAGTTTGAAAAAATGTTTCCTTTTCTCCAGCTTACTTTATTGTAAGAATACAGCATATAACATATGAAATATGCGTTGATTCTCTATTTATGTTACTCATGTTCCAGTCAACATCAGGCTATCAGTAGTTAAGTTATTGGGGAATCAAATTATACATAGATTTTCGACTACATGATGTGGGAAGTTGGTGGCCCTAGCCCGGCATTTTTCAAGGGTTAGCTGTATATTCTAACCACTCTGACTTAAAAAAGCACTTGGTAAAACGCTCTTACTTTTTGCAGTGTCCACACCAAGGAGCATAAAATTCAACCATCCAAACATCTTCACTGTCAAGGACATTCTTATCAAAGGTGTCGTCTGTCAGCTCAATCACATCTTTCTTGCTTGAACTTTCACTTCTACCCTGTCATTTGTGAAATTAAACATTAAACTACAACTTGGCTGAAAAGAACACTATTACTAGTGTGCACACACACACTCACAAAACAATAACACTTCTATATCTTAATTAAGTTTCGAGGTTTTCTTTCAAGGGAAACTATTTCACTCACACTGGGGACATTCAGTTTTTTTGACTTGGGAAACAGTATTTACTTTCAGATAATTACCAGTACATTAGTACCATATATAACATACATCTGAACTCTATCCTGCTTTTTTTTATTAAGAGAAACCTCAACACGGCTCTAAGAACCACCTTAGTAACACTATTCTGAGTGACTCAAGCATGGCTGCCGGTTCAGCCCAGGATGTTAAACATAACCTACAGCTACTGCCTTTTCATAGAGAAAGTGCCTACTGCTCAAGAAAGTTAAAAATAACATTTAATCCTTTTCTTTTTTCAAAGAACTTGTTTTACCACTAAACCCAAGCAGCCACGAGCACTGCCATACCGTGCCTGCTGCCTGGGCCAAAAGCCAGGGAGCCGGGGCAAGACGGCTGAGCTCCCTCCCTGCCTAAGTCTTAAGTAAGGGGCAGAGCGTGAGATCCCTGGTCAGCTCTGGTTCTGCACAGAGCAGCCAGCTTTACTGGTCTCCTAAGAGAGTGAAGGGTCATGTATCTGTATTTGTTGGTAAGAATTTAACACCTTTCCCAAGAGCATAAATACATCATGGTTCAACTTCATATTTCCTACAAGGACATCGAAAGTACCAAGGCATATAGGTCAGGAACTCCGTTCTCTTCTTCCCTATACATTTCTGAAGAATTTTTTCCAGAGGTTTCAGGCTGATTGCCACATATAGAGGCTAAGAGGTGGTCCACATGTCACTGTTCGCCCAGTTCGCATGGCTTTTCTCTCTCTCTCCACTGTGGAACTCCAGCGTGCCACGGGGTCCCAGAGCCCAGCTCCCTTGGCCTGGAGCACCCTTCTCCCTCCGCAGTCTGAACTCTTCTATTTCAGCCCTGGGCCAAAGAACCTATTTTGGGGCCTGGTTCTTGGACTGCAGCTGTGGTAAGATGCCTTAGGACTTACTGGTGGTTTTTGGTTTTTTTTTTCAAGTCACTATGTTGTACATCTGAAATACTGATGATTCTAAGGAAGCCAAATGAGCTGGGTGGCTGACTCCCTGTCATGATCCATCCTCTACAAGGAGTCACAAAGGCACACTACAAACTGACACTACCCAGACTCACTTGTTTTCCAGAGCTAGACCCGCCGGCCCTTCCCCCAAGGCGATCCTTCACCAGCTGGCGCAGAGCACTAAGAGCAGCGTCTACGATGGCTTCAGCAGTTCTGCCACCTACAGGAAGACAAGGGACAATCAAACGAACAGGCAGTGGCGGGCTGTGTGCTTACCTGACACTCTGAAGACCTGCACCTTTACACATTCATCAGCTTCATCTGATGTGCAAACAGACCTACACACATGTATTTAAGAGCTAATTTCTCCCTTGAATGCATTTTGCACTGGACTTTACACTTTGCAAATCCTCTTCTTCGGTTTTTATGCTATTAGTGTGAATAAGAACACCCTGTTCACCTATAAATACCATCTAGTAATGATAATAATTCACTAGTTTACTGAACGTGTAACATGCTCACAAATGAGTAAGAAGCTATTATCTAGTTAAGAAAGCAGGGAAATTTCTAAATACAAAGTACTAAAATGAGGAAGACAGATGAAACTGTTTCTAAGAGATAATGGACAGAAAGACTGGAAAAAGTGGGATATGACATGCTTGAAGCTAAGGAACTGAAAAGTAATACAGGCCCATCTTTCCCATCCTGCTTAAAGCACTGTCACGCTGGGCTTTTTTAGGTTCTGTAGCTGAAACAGCTAATACAGTAAGTAACAAACTCTGTACTAAAACTCAGTAACAATAGCCTTTGGAAGTTTACCAAAAACCGGATGCTCAAGAAAAAGCCAGGGGACTCAGAAATACAGGGGTAATACAGGTCATGAGTTCAGAGTTCAAAGACAATACTCTAATAATAAAATTTCTTCAGAAAGTTTCATCCTTCTTTAAAATAATAAAACAGTTTCTTAATCAAGCTGCCCAGGAATACATAAAACCTTAGAACACTTCACACCTGACCTTAGAAAACGAATACAGTAAGCCACACTAAGAGCGTGTTGAGATCACATTGTAGGGCATCCCTGGGCAAGACTACCAAGAGTATCCCTGAACAGAAGGGCAGGACCTCAGCATAAAACAGCTCTTGCTCCTGACCTACACCAGACATCTCATCTCCAGACCAGCGCCTCGTCCACCATCGTTCACCTGGAAACACACCAAATCAAGGAATATACTAAGAAAAGAGGGACAGTTTTCTTACTCTAAACCAAGAGCCGCTAAGTCTGTATTGTAAAGAGCCAGAGTTATTGTTTTCAGCTTTGCAGGCTGGTGTCTTGCAGCACTCTATTCTGCTATTTTAGTATGAAAGCAGCCATGGACGGTACGTAAATGACACGTGTGACTGTGTTGTCGCAAACTATTTTCAAAAACAGACAGCTTACTTTCAATCGACTTGCACAAATGAGAATTCCGACCAGGGGAATGGAGTAGTTGGGGAAAGTCCTTACCCTGATAATCTTCTGGTTTGTTTTTGTTAGGCCCAAAAATCTTAATGGTAGGAAATCCCTGAACACCATATTGACCTCCTAGCGACTGATGTTTATCGGCATCAACTGCACCAACTTTCACAACATCCTGTGGAAATAATGAACAAAAACAGACAACATAAAAATTGGTGCGCTTCCTCTGCTTCCCACATGATTCCAGCACCAGAACAAGGATTCTGGACTTGGACATACGTATTAGCTTCTACTGTACCATGAACCCACTGGCGTACTTAGTTAAACATACACAGGTGAATGAGCTCATCTTAGAAACTTACTTTTAAAGCAGCTGCTGCTTTCTTCCATTCTGGTGCTAACCTTTGGCAGTGGCCACACCTTTTAGGGGATGAAAACATAAACAAGACAACAGTTAAAGTGTTCGTTTCCCAATTCAAAATCCCACCAGTGGTTGACTGAGTGACACACATGGGTGGGGGCTTACAGGGCTTATGGGCACTAGCAAAGCAGTGACCCGAAGGAACAAACTATTTATGACTTTACTACAATCCTCTTTTGTATCATAATAAAAAAAGCCTCCAAATTACTGCTCAATTAAATTATATTTAAAGAATATAAGCAAACTCTATCATTTGTTAACTCTATCCCTGAGCAGGTACTACAGCATTTATCTGGTCAAGTGTGCCTCAATGTGTGGTCTGAATTGTAAGGTGAGGCAAAATGCAGATTCCTGGGCTCCACGAAATCAAGAGCTTCTAGAGAAAGGGTTCAAGAATCTGTATTTTAATAAATTCTACCAGTGATTCTTAGACCTATAAGATGTAATATTCCCTGATACAGCCCAACCTTTTCATTTTATAGACAAGGCATCTGTATTAGAGCCTAGGTCCCAAGTGCCTCAATCTCTATGTTCTTTGGCTCCCACAGCAGCGTGTGGGGTTAAAAATGCACACATACTCCCACTCTTACTAGTAAACCTACTAGCTGAAAAGAAACGGATACAACAAGGTAGTGGTGAAACGGCCAGAGGGAGAGAGAGCAAGAGACAGACACATACACTGAGGGGTAAGAACACAAACAAGAACCACCTTGATCTTTTAGGTAATAGTGTTTGAAGAGTTACTATGAATGTAACAAACAGAAAGTGCTTTAGGAAATTGTATCAACACAGACCTGTTACATTTACACCATTCATTGAGGATGCAGGCAGCTATTTTACTTTCACTGCTGCATAATATCCATTGTGGGAAGATACCAAAGCTAGTTTATCCATAGGTAGTTTTGTTTTGTTGTGTTTTATTTTAAATTAGGTAGATTCTCTCTTAATTGGGTTTCTAAGGACCTAATGTGAACAAATGCCACATGCCTGGACTATGATGGGCACTCTTACCGAAGGATTTCGCTTAATCAGCACAACCACCCCGAAGGTGGGCCTTGTTATTTCCATTTTACAGATGGTAAGACAGAGGCTGAGAAGTTAAGAAACCTAGTATCACACAGTCATCTGGTGACACAGCTGTCTGACAAGTCTGAGTCCAGATCCCACATTCTTAATCACTGTGTAATATCACCCTTCATAAAGGCCTAAACTTAATCCAGTATTTTAAAAGTCACAGTCTTTCAGGGAAATGTCCTGAAATGCTGCCCTCCATACTTAAACACACATAGCACTCGCTCTAACCCCCAAGTTCTTCACATGGGATGCATAGACCCCCAAAGCACTGGTGGATAAAAATTTAGGGTCTCCATGTACTTTGATGGGGAAAAACCCCTCTATTTTCACGAATCTCTAACTGAAATTTAGGAGTTCTTTAAATTACAAACATGAAGAACCTACCATGGTTAGTACTTGAAACTTTGTCACAAACAAAAATCAGCGCTATTTTCCAATTACCACTGTAGTCGTTGCAGGTATCTTTAAGTATCGCTTATGTTCATCACTATTCCAGAATCATGGTAGCCAGGTGTTAGATCTGCTGCTGGATCTTGGAATTTACTGTCCCAGTAAGGGAGTACTACATAACCATATCAAGATGTATTTTAATATTATCTCAATATTTTAGGTTTCCTTTGTGGGCCTGTATACATTATTTTATTCATGTAAAGTCTTTATTCTAAGAAGGAATTCAAAGCCTCCCCTAAGCTGCTAAAGCCCAAGTCCAAGCCCCAAAAGATGTCAAGAGCCCCTGCTCTAACTGGACTTCCTTTTACCCAGAACATGGACAGCAAAATTCTGCCAGAGTGCCAGTAATAATTAACTACCAGATCCAGATCCAGCCTTCTCAATTATGCTGTCCAGTTAAGAGTTTGGGAATGAAGTATATTCTCTAATGTAGCTTTGAAAAACAAGGTAAATTGCTCATGCCATAAATGATTAAAAAAAAAAATCCAAACTTGTAAATACTGCATACAAGGGCATTCAACAATATTAACAGACTGTACAATTACTATTTGTACATTTACTAATATGAGTGAACTAACCCACAGAGAATTCTCATTTGATTTTAACAAAAATCAAGTAGGAACTTTTAAAAAAATAATAAAGGCATTGAAATGAACAGTATTCACAGGTGGCAACATAACCTTTTAATGAAGAGGGCTGTACCTTAGTTGGCTATACTGAACGGTAAGTGTGATAGTCCATGAGGACTGGTACTGAGTTTCCAAAACTGTTTCATGGTCTTCTAGAGAAAAAATTAAAGCAATGAGGGAAAACCCTTCATCAGGCATACCCTAAAACGTGGCCACTCAGCTAAGAATTAGCAAGACTTTCATGTGCTACTCTGCTATGAGCTTACAAGGCACAACTCATACGTAAAAGCACCACTCGGCACCGTGGGGCGCCACACAGTTCACCTGCAAAGACACACAGGTGGCTGGCGCTCGGGCCCCCTCTGAGTACCTGGGCTGCTAGATCACAGCAGGGACGGTCTCGAGAACATTCTGCACTGTTGCCCGCCATCTGTCTCTACACATCTATTCGTTGGGTTTTTGCTTTGTATGCATTATAAATAGTGCAGTACTGTATTTTGAGTATATATAATTGTGCACCATTAATTTCAATGGTAATTACATCTTCACTCTCCAAGGGTTTTTTCCAGCAGTGAATGTAATAAATAAGCAAGAGAAGAATTTTTAAATGAAATGAGGTGTTCTGGTCACATATTCCTGGAAGCAGCCTTCTTCAAGAAGCGAAGGGAGTCAGTCACTGGTTCTTCTGCCCTTTCCTTTGACCAACAGTCTTTCTGCAGAGTATCAGTTTCCCTTACATCAACAACACTTACCTCATCATCAACATGTATCTTAAGGTTACCAGGGTCTTTTTTTCCTTCTTTCGTGCCACACTTAGCTATTTCAACCATTTTTTTTAAATTGACTCAATCTCCATGGGCTCCACTTGTGGAGTCTCCCATTTCCCATTCTTCTTTTAAACAAGCAGTACACTAGGTAAATCAGCTGAATACAATCACATTTTTACATACTATTTCCCCTCATTTTATAAACCACCATAAACAAGCAGCAACTACTTGATAATACTTACCATGGAGCATAGAATTCTACAAGCCACAAACTATCACTTTGAATCACTTCTCGGTTGAAATTTGATGGAGTTAATTCAATTACATCATCACCAGAGGAATACAGAGCATTTGCTTCTAGAAAGAAGGTACAGCTCAGCAGACCTGAAATAGCAACAAAAAGCACACCGTTAAAGGCAGGGTTCGGGCTTGGAGAGACCTGGGCAGCCATGGTCTTTTCTCACAACTGATCGAGGTCCCTCACATCGGACGGCCTGGGTCAGCTCCCTCCTGGCCTGTGCCCACGCTCCAGCCCCTGGAATTTCACTCCCACTGGTGCACCATCAAGTCGGCAACAGGGAGAATCCACACTCTCACCTCTTGAGCTACACTGGAAACAGACTTAAGTACTATTCTTAGTGCTTTTTACATTTTAACACTTTCATTCTTTACAACCACCTTATGAGGCAGCATTATTTATTGCTGTTTTATGGGCAAGGACACTGAATTTTGGGGAGCTACATCACATCTAGCTCTGTGACCTTCAGCAATCCATACAGTATTTATTTCTTGTGTTATTCAGCTACAACATTACCACACTATCTCTATTAAAATGTTTCTGAAGGCAAAAATAACTACTTGTCTCTCCTACTAGACTGGGATTCTCTCAAGGCCAATGGTTGTTTTTATAAATATTTTTATTTCTACTAACACTATCCATGGTGCATGATCAGTCACTCAATGTTGCTGGATGAGAGTAGAAAAAATCTTAATGTAAGCAATGTTATAAAGGGAAAAGAGTCTATTGTATTTATTTTTATTAAGGTATCACTGATATACAATCTAATGAAGGTTTCACAAGAAAAACAATGTGGTTACTACATTCACCCTTGTTATCAAGTCCCCCCGCTACCCCATTGCAGTCACTGTCCATCAGTGTAGTAAGATGCCAGAGTCCCTACTTGTCTTCTCTGTGCTACACTGTCTTCCCCGTGACCCCCCCCCCACACCATGTGCACCAATCACGATACCCTTCAATCCCCTTCTCCCTCCCTCCCCACCAGCCCTCCCTCACCTCTCCCCTTTGGTAACTGAGTCTATTGTATTTTTAACAGCATCTGTTTTAGCCACACTGCGGACCAAGTGTATTTCTGTTGGCTCCTCTAGCAGTTTATAACAATTATATAGAAAAAGAAATTCTGAACTGACTTATGAATATTTTAAGAACAAGTTTTTGGAATAGGTTAATTCCATCAAAATTTCAAAAACTTCTCCTTTTTAAACAAATATTTTTTTTCTTATGCTTCCTAATTGCACTATCCATTACCTCCAGAACAATGCGATAAATAATGGAATGTTCTTGACATTAACAGGAATATATTCCCATTTGCTGGCTTTTGGATTCAAACATAAACTTTATGATTGAAAGAAATTTCTATTACTTTCTTTTCAGCATCTGTGGAGACAATCATATAATTTCTTTTAATCTGTTGATGATGCTATCAATTGAGAGACTGACCTGTCTTCTAAGGTAGTGTGTGTACATATGCCACCTTAGTCACATTTTCACATGCTTACTTTGTAAATAAGAGTTTGAAAGATTTCAAAGGAACTTTTTTGAGTAACTGAATGGTAAATTTCTTCTGGAAGGAGTGAACACCAGCGTTAACTATTCCATTACTAAGTCCTCCATGCTTACATAGCACTTTCAATTTTCCAATCACTTTCAAATACATTAGATGACTTGATTTTTCACAGCACTACAAACTAGAGAGCAGGAATCCACCCTATTTTGTAAATAAGGAAAGGCTCATCTATGACCATAAATTTAACTGGCAGAGCAGCCGACTTCTTTTTTCAAGCTTCTCCCATTAAGCCACCTTGTCTTTTTACTGCTCCAAACGGTTCAGTATACTATGGGCATGAATAAAGAATTATTTGTTCAAGAATATTACATTTGAATTACAGACATGGCTAATATTGTAGGAACTTAGGAATTAAAGTGGACTTTACTAAGGGTGATGTGAACCCACCAAAGGGTTATCCTGCAAGGGGTATGATCAGATGTGCTTCCTCAAGAGTACTCTAGCTGCAGTGTGGACAGTGGCCGGGGGAACTAGAGAGTGGTGTCACCTAAGCCAAGGTTTAGGTGGGCCAGCAAACAGCAACAAATGCTACCAGGAGGTCAAGAAGGAAAGGCTGAAAACTAACTGTTGGATTTGATGGCAAATATGTCATGAGGGTGCCTAACAGTGGTGTGGAGTTGAGAAAACAGGCAGCAGCCAGTCTGAAAAAGACTGGAAAAGGGAATGAGTTGGTGAGACAACAGAGATAGCTCTTTAAACAAGTTCATCATAAAAAGCAAGAGATTGCAAGTGAATAAAATTACATTTTTACATACTATTTCCCCTCATTTTATAAAGCACCATAAACAATCAGCAACTACTTGATAATACCACGGAGCATAGAATTCTACAAGCCATTCTTATAGAGGGAAGGTTTCTTTTTAAAGATGGGAGTAATGTGAGCATGAATGTAGTATGTGGAATGGGACAAGCTGAAGAGGAGGGGGTAATGGAACGAAATGCCTGCAATCGGGAGGTGGGGGGCCCAGAGTCAGTGAGGGGCAGCCTATGACAGAATGACCTCATTTCTTTCAAGACATGGGAAAGAGTGAATCTGGATGGAGGTCAGGCCAACCAAAGTGGGTCTCCCTAGATAACTGTGCCATCCACTATGGCAGCCACTAGCCACAAGGGACTATCCCCAAACAAGATGTGCTGAAGGTATAAAAAGCACAGTGAATTTTGAAAACTTGGTAGAAAAAATAAGTAAACTATCTCATAGACATTTCAAATACTGATACACACTGAAATGATAGTTCAGCTATGTTAGCCAAATAAAACTAATTTCACTTGTTTGCTTTTGCCTTTTTAAAATGTGACTACTAGAAAATTTTAAATT